AAAAAAAAAAAAAAAAAAAAAAAAGTTTATCATAATTTTGAAATGAATACAGATGATAAACTTTCTTTGGAAAGTAAATCTTAAATTCACTTTTTTTAAAGCCACACTGTTTGCAATTAATGGTGGTAAATTTTAGTACATGGGAAATGTTGAAGAAGCAGAGTCTAGTTTATACAAAGCCTTTCTGTACATATTCTTCCAGTTACATCTACCGCATAAGTTAAAACTTCAGTGTCTCTAGTCACTGTCTCCTAGAATTTCAAATTTGAGACTTACTGTGTTTATACCAAGAGAACAAAACTGAGATTATGTATGTAATTATCTAATTGAATCAACTTCACAGTATTCGGTGTTTCACAGGAAAAGTTATTCTATAGTGTCACTGATTTAAAATCACAGAGTTTCTTAAAGCTACATCATAATTTAGTTACTAACGGTTTCATTTTAAAAAATCTAGTATAATTGTAGCAGTTGAAGCTCTGCTTATTAGTTCATAGCTCGTCAACATCTCAGTTGTTAGAACTTGCATCTTATTTTCCTAGCCGTACTACTTCAATATATTATTTTGATCATAAAGGTAACTATGTGCTTATTCTTACCCCGCTCCTGAAGTTTCTGCCGTAATTTGTTTAATCATTTCCTTTTAAGTCTCAGCTACTTTTATGTTTCAGAGTTTCCTTATGCACAACTTTGTAATGAGCATAATAGGTTTATATGTTATTTTGAATACGTAATTAGCCTTGAGAAAAAAGATATAATTACAAGAAGATGGAGAGGTATGGTGAGTCTTAAGATTCTTAGAGTGATGGCAGTGTACTTTCAAGGACCCAGAGTGTTAATGATGCTGATGATTTATACCTAATTTCATTCAAAGGTGATGATGCTCCTTCTTGATGGAAATTTATCACTATTTTTGTCTGGTCAGATGGGATCAATGTCATTAAGAAGAGGACAGAGGTTTTCCTGAAGAAACGCTCCAGAATTGGGAAGAGGAGAGGGAAGAGGGAGAGAGAGTGTGTTTGGGGGGTGGAGGTGGACTTGAATGAAGACTGGAGGTCACATTGAGTTATGAGATAGGAGGTTCTAGAGAGACTCTGCCCTCCTTGAAGGCACTTTGACACAAGAGAAACCTTTTGCTATTTGGAACCTTTTAGATGTAGGAGGGAAAAAGAAGAAAATGTGTATCTAGTTAGTTATATCAGTGGGGAGTGTGTAAGTCAGATATTCACAACTTAAAGAACAGCACTGATTGTGCTCTCGTGCCACTGAAGGAACACCTTTGCAGTGTATGAAAATAACTAATGTACTTGGCCTACTTAACATTTTCTTGTTTATTCTGTGCTTTCTGTATATATGCCTCCCTGTTCCAATCTGAAAAGTAGGGATGAGAGGATCCAAATGTGTCATGTTAAATTGTATCAATTATGAGGAATCCTTTGAAAAGAAAAGACTAACAAATATTCATTAGTTTGATTTAAGGGACTAGTCTAAGTCTAAGCAATTTATGTTTCTTTTAATAAGTTTCATAGGAGAATTTACAAAGGAATCCCACTCCAGCTCAGAGGGGAAGTCTGGGCCCTCCTCCTGGAGATACCGAAAATGAAGGAAGAAACCAGAGACCTATATAGTGTGAGTACCGAGAGCCAGCCTATTATTTTGAAACGATCATTCAATGTTGGGGCATATTTGTAAGGAAAATTGGCTAACACCTGGTTGTAGCTACTCATTTGCAATGTAGTATTAATAATAAAGAGATTTACAATGTCACTTTTAGAGTTTTGGGGAAAATAACAGCAGAATTCAGTTTATCCAACGGCTGCCTGTGTATGATTGACTGTTTTCTTCTTCTTTCCCCTAAGATTGTTATACAGTATTTCTAGGTTTTATTTTTTATTTATAAAAAGTTAAACGTTTCACTCAGTGATCAGTAATGCTTTCTGTAAATTAGTCAGGGCATTAAATTTACCTCCTTGTCATCTCAGCTATACCCTTTCTAAACCTAAATTTTATATTAACCTTTGAAAGGAATAAGAAACATATATCTAAAAATAACTTTGTGCCTTAGAAAAAGTGTTCAATGTCACTAATAAAAAAGGAAATGTAAATTTTAAAAAATTAAAAATAAAAATAACTTTGAAATCTTTCTCAGAAAATGTATATAAATAGAATAAATTAAGATAGAATAACTGAAATAAAGACAAATTATAATAAAAATAAAAATAACTTTGAAATCTATTCCTCAGAAAATGTATATAAATAGAATAAGACCGAATAACTGAAATAAAGACGAATTATTTGTCATTTAAACCCAACACCAATTATAAAAGGGGCTTTGGAATGCTCTTTTGATAGTTTCATATTTATGTATAAATAAGCAAAATTTCATCAAGATGTAAGGTAATAGGGCTTCCCTGGTGGCACAGTGGTTAAGAATCCGCCTGCCCATGCAGGGGACACAGGTTCGAGCCCTGGTCTTGGAAGATCCCACATGCTGCGGAGCAGCTAAGCCCATGCACCACAACTACTGAGCCTGTGCTCTAGAGCCCACAAGCCGCAACTGCTGAGCCCGCGTGCTGCAACTACTGAAGCCCGTGCACCTAGAGCCCGTGCTCCGCAACAAGAGAAGCCACTGCAGTGAGAAGCCCACACACCACAACAAAGAGTAGCCCCCGCTCACCGCAACTGGAGAAAGCCCGCCCGCAGCAACAAAGACCCAATGCAGCCAAAAATAAATAAATTAAAAAATAAATTTAAAAAAAGATGTAATAAATATTGGTTAATTTAAACAGTTACTTGTTTTTTATGATGTAAAGAGTTTTTAAATTAGTTGTTTGGACCCTGCACAGATTATGAGTTTTGTCTCAGGATTTTAGAGTTTCAAATTATTTTAGATGGTTGATTAGATATTTGCCTTTAATGTCATAGTTTTAGAACCAGTATTGAAAAATGATGTCTGAGAGAAATATTTAAAATCTAACCCCAGCCCCTAGGTACAGTGTGCCTCTCATAGGGTGGGTGCTCAGTAAATAATTTATTTAATTAATAAAGAAGAAAATTTTACTTAGCATGCTGTTTTGGTTTCCTGGGGCTGCCATGACAAAGTCACACAAACGGAGTGGCTGAAAACAACAGACATTTATTCTCCTGCAGTTCTGGAGGATAGAAGTCTGAGATCAGGGTGTCAGCAGGGCCATGCTCCATCCCAAGGCTTTAGGGAAGAACCTTTCCTTGACTCTTCCTAGATCCTGGAGTTGCCGGCATCCCGGGTGTTCTTTGGCTTGGGGCTGCGTCACTCCAGTCTCTCCCTCTGTCTTCAAGTGGCTTTTCCTTGTGTGTGTGTCTGTCTCACCTTCTAAGGACTCTAGTCATTGGATTTAGGGTCGACCCTAATCTAGTATGACCTCCTCTTAACTTGACTACATCTGTAAAGACCCTATTTCCAAATCAGGTCATAGGCCCAGGTTCTAGGTAGACAGGAATTTGGGGTGGATACTATTCAACCCAGTACACATGCTAATATTAGAACTGTGGTTCAGGCTTTTTCTACATAGAATAAAATTATCCAGTTACTGTATATCCAGTATACAGTAGCAAGAAAAGAAATGACTTGCCCACCAATCCTTTCAAGCTTATAATTTTCAGCACTATCATAAGCATTATTTTTACTACTTGAGATTCCTCTAGCATTTAACCAAGTCTTCGTTTCCCAGTTACTTTCTTTTACTCTCTCTTTGCAAAAGTAGTATAAATCGCTGTCCTAAAATGGGAAATTCAATGGGAATAAAACTACTTTTTCTTAATCTGTTGATACTAAGATTTTTCTCAAATGGTGGAATTGTCCTGATTCCTGAGCCAGTGCTCTTATCTGCTATTTCTCCTGTTCTTTTAATTGTATCTCATTGTTATCTGTCTCTCTGGGGTATAGTGCTCTGTCTCACAGGTGGCAGAGGTCCAGTGACAGTGAATAACAACCTCACCTGCAGCCTTAGCAAGGCTTAGTAATCTTGTTGGCCAAACCCACAGTGAAATTGCTAGTTTTTCATCCAGATACTTTCCACTGTACTTCTGCTCTCAGGTTTATAGGTTCATTACATTCCTATTTCTTTTAAGTAAAATGTTTATTCTTTATTATTGTGACACTCATGGATCTTAACCCACCCAATCTCAGAGTAACCTTAGAAGTTGCTTACACCTCCTTTCATTAAGATAAGAAATATGCTTGATTTCCTATATTCTGCACATTGGTTTGTAACCATTCTAGGACATAAATAATCTTTCTGCTCTATTATATTTTACCTGCTTAACTGGGCTTTGTTTCTGTCATGAGGTCTTTTTTTATGTTGAATTTCTTGTCCTCTAGAGTAATTTTTTAAAATAGATCTTTACTGGAGTATAATTGCTTCACAGTACTGTGTTAGTTTCTGTTGCACAACCAAGCAAATCAGCCATATGCATACACATGTCCCCATATCCCCTCCCTCTAGGTAGCCTCCCTCCCATCCTCCCTATCCCACCCCTCTAGGTCATCATCATAAAGCACCGAGCCAATCTTCCTGTGCTATGCTGCTGCTTCCCACCAGCCAACTGTTTTACATTCGGTAGTGTAGTATATATGTCCATGCCTCTCTCTCGCTTTGTCACAGTTTACCCTTCCCCCTCCCCATATCCTCAAGTCCATTCTCTAGTAAGTCTGTGTCTTTATTCCTGTTTCACCCCTAGGTTCTTCATGACATTTTTTCCCTTAAATTCCATATATATGTGTTAGCATACGGTATTTGTCTCTCTCTTTCTGACTTACTTCACTCTGACAGACTCTAGGTCTGTCCACCTCATTACAAATAGCTCAATTTCGTTTCTTTTTATGGCTGAGTAATATTCCGTTGTATATATGTGCCACATCTTCTTTATCCATTCATCTGTCAGTGGACATTTAGGTTGGTTCCATGTCTTGGCTGTTGTAAATAGTTCTGCAGTGAACATCGTGGTACATGTCTCTTTTTGAATTATCGTTTTCTCAGGGCATATGCCCAGTAGTGGGATTGCTGGGTCATATGGTAGTTCTGTTTTTAGTTTTTTAAGGAACCTCCATACTGTTTTCCATAGTGGTTTTATCAGTTTACATTCCCACGAACAGTGCAGGAGGGTTCCCTTTTCACCACACCCTTTCCAGCATTTATAGTTTCTAGAATTTTTGATAATGGCCATTCTGACCAGCATGAAGTGATACCTCATTGTAGGTTTGATTTGCATTTCTCTAATGATTAGTGATGTTGAGCATCTTTTCATGTGCCTCTTGGCTATCTGTATGTCTTCCTTGGTGAAATGTCTATTTAGGTCTTGCACCCATTTTTTAACTGGATTGTTCGTGTTTTGATATTGAGTTCCATGAGCAGTTTATATATTTTGGAGATGAATCCTTTGTTGTTGCATTTGCAAATATTTTCTCCCATTCTGAGGGTTGTCTTTTTGTCTTGTTTATGGTTTCCTTTTCTGTGTAAAAGCTTTTAAGTTTAATTAAGTCCCATTTGTTTAATTTTGTTTTTATTTCTGTTACTCTAGGAGGTGGGTCCAAAAAGATCCTGCTGTGGTTTACGTCAAAGAGCATTTTTCCTATGTTTTCCTCTAAGAATTGAAGAATCTTTGCAAAAAAAAAAAAAAAAAAAAAAAAAAAAAAGAACAATAACAAAGTAAAAAAATAACATAAAAATGAACAATAACAAAGTAAAAAAAAAATAACAAAGTAAACAAAAAATTTCCTAGTTTCTGCTAGGAAACTAACAGATATGTTAGAAAGAATATAAAAATAAAAGTATAGATAAATCAACAACTGGAAGGTACGTCAGTACTACAATGGTAAAAAAAAAAAAAAAAAAAAAGGGGAGGAGGGAAAAGAAAAAAAAATAAAAGAGGGGGTTGGGAAGGCCTTGGCTGTGGAGGGCGGGGCCTAAGCAAGGGTGAGGTTTGGGCAGTGGGCGGGGCCAATGCTCAGGACCCACAGGGCTGGAAAAGGCTGTGAGGGGTGAGGCTTAGCCTCAAGGAACAGAAGGGGCCCAGGCGTGGCCCCTGCCCCTGGTCTCAGCCGGCAGGGGACCTCACCTGGGAGCCCAGGAGGCTCCCCGTGCCTGAGTGGGCGGGGCAATCGCCCTCCGCTCCTCTCCCGCTCCTCCCGGAGGGCCCCTCCCTCCTGCCTCTCCTGATCTCCCCGGCCTCAGGGGCGCTGATCCTGTCTGGCCTCCACTTCTCCTCCCCCCTCATCCCCCCTACGTCCTACTGGTTCACTTTGGGGTTCCTCCCATCTCCTTGGGTGTCAGAGCCCCCCACCAGCAGCCGGCAGGTGCCTTAGTGTGGGGAGATGCTAACTCCACGTCCTCCCACACCGCCATCTTCAGGAAAAGTTTTCTAGAGTAATTGACATTATAGATGTCTTTGGGTGTTTTTCTCCCTTTCAGCTAAATTTTATTTTAAAGCATATTTTATCATGTCTTGTCAAACATTTCCTTTCGGTGTTTTGATACCTCATCTTTTACCAGGGGGCCTGCGGAACAATAATTGAAACCTCTTTGCTTGCCAACTACCTTATTTTTTTTTTTAAAGATATTTAACGAACAAATATATAAAGATTATTATTTTTAAAGCTAAATTTTTGTAATGTCTCTTGGACCAACTTTTATCAGAAATAGCATACAATACTATTTTAGTGGTTGTACGGTTCTCTAGTACAATAGTATAAATATCTTCCTTGGTCTTCAGAACTCTGAAGTGTTTTAAAACACTGTGGAAGTGCTCATGTTTTTAAAAGCTGCAGAAGCTGCCCTTCTCTGAGCTCCTACCTCAAAACACAAAACATTTAACATACATACACATGTTCCAGGCAACCTTGTTTTTTCCACTTTTAGCTTAAGTCAGGAATTAACAGTTATATTTATTTACTAGAATTGGTTTTAACAGAAATACTTATTTCCAATACATGATAAATAGGTCAATATAACACATGTATATAGGTGTTTAATTACAATTAAATCTGGTTTAGTATAAATTTTAATCTCCCACCTTGTTAAACATACTCATTTTGTTCTTTTCCCCCTGAAATGCTGCTTAATTGACAGCAGAGAGGGTTTTTTAAAAAGACAAAAACTGCAAGGAATAAGAAAATGGGAGAAGAGGTAACCCTTGCCAATTTTTTGGAGACCAGAATTCAGACAAACATTTAGTAATTTTAGCAACCCTGAGAAAACCTGAGGAGGACCTGATTTATATCTCAGAATCCCCAGTAGGCTTCATAATTGCCAGCTCCAGGTACCTCTGGAAGTGGAAGTGAAACTAAAAACAGTAGAAGTGCTTGAAAGTCCGTTGCAGGAGCAGTTAGAGTCCTTGAGTTCCCCACCCCTGCACGAGATGGGGGCAGGGTGTGGGTTACTGTTTGGAGAGGATGAAACAGAAGGCCGGTGGGCTGGAGTGGACACAGACCTGCTGAGGAAAGCACAGAGGGAGTCAATGTCCTGAATTCGGGGCAGTCCCGCCTTTCCCTCCGCTCAGCTCCCAGAACAAAACACTGGCATCCGGACGCTTGTCCTCCTGACAGGAACTCAGAAGAGTCTTCTCTAGGAATCTGACCAGCCCAAGAAAATACCCCCAAACTCCTGACTTCAAGGGAAGCCCAGTGAAACCAGCCAGATCACTCTACAGTGAAGACAGAGCTTGAAGCCCCACGTCTGCACATAGCGCTTTCCATCAGCTTTCTTATGTCTTCTTTCAAATATGAGTGAGGAGAGGAGCTAGGAGATAACATGGAAAATAAGAACAAGTAGAAAAAGCAATTTGTGAGAAACAGACTATACAGCAGGAAGAAAACGGAAGAGCTATTGCTGGTGTCTTCAGAGGGATAAAAAGAGATATTGTGTCCATAAAACAAGTATAGGATGCTATAAAAGGAACATTAGAGAACAATAGAGCTTATGAATATAAAAAATGATAATAGAAATGAAAAATTCTAGAGGAGGGTTTGAAAATAACAAGTGAAGAAATTTCCCAGAAAATAGATTGTGAAGTCAAAACTCAAATCAATGTTTTTACAATTGAAAATATCCATCAAGTGCCCAAACCTGTGGCTAAGAATAGATCCAAGCCAAGCACAGAAATTGCAAGTTTCAAAACTTGAAGATAGAAGCTCCTATAAGCTTCTAGAGAGGAAAAAATAGATTTCATATAAAGAAGAAAGAATTAGAGTGGCAACACTGGAAGCTAGAAGACAGTGAAGGCGGTGCCTTTTGAGCAAAACTATTTTCTGACTTAGATTCTGAAATAACCAAATAGCTAAGAAAGAAGATAGATTTATCAGACGTTCCAAGTGTCACAAAATTTATCTCCCACACGCCCTTTCACAGGAGCTACTGGAGCTCCTCCAGAACAAGGGAATAAACCAAGAAAGATATGAGATGCAGGAGACAGGGGACCCAAGCAAAGGAAGGCCTAGCAGATGGTGAAGGGAGACCCCCGAGACCCCCGCTGAGTAGCGGGTCCAAAAGCTCTGGAAGCCAGGTCTGCAGGGAGGGTGCCTGTTCTGTTAGAATAGCACCAGGAGAGGTTGATGCAACTTAAAAGTGAGTTTGGATTAAATTAGCGACACATATGTAGAAAATGAAGCAAGTCAATAAACAAGGCAATGATAAGCCCCAAGGAAAACAAGAACATTGTGCTAGAAAGAAGAAAGGGAGCATAGTGAACTGCATGGCTCAGCTGTGAAGAGTCTTAGGAACACAAACTCCAAAACGCTCTCCATCCAAAATGAAAATCTAACTGTACTGGCAGGATGGGAGGGAGAGGAGGGGGTGTGGATGGAGAGAAACCTTTCATTGCGCACCTTTTCGTATTGTTTTCATTTTTGAACCATGGAAATGGCTTTCCTAAGTCAAAAATTAAGTTTTTTAAAGAGAATTATTTTACCATTTTCATAGGCTTTTTGACAACCGATTTCCATAAAAATGTGCTTTCTTCCCCTCTTTTTCCTCTTCAGAAATTAAAACACAGAGCACGGGGTTGTTCACCTGATATCAGACAAATAGACCTTGATGTCAACCGCACATTTAGGGACCATATCATGTTTAGAGACAGATATGGTGTGAAGTAAGTAAAGTTTAGTATTATGAACTATGAATAGCATGTACAAATAGTCTTTTATCAATTTGAAATGTCAATGTTTGGAATGTCTTGTATAGACGATAATTTTGATTCCAATTCTAAGGGTTTAAGTTTTGGTGGATCATTTGTTCCATATTGTGTACAATTCAGGAGCTAATTTAACTTAAATTTTTAACCTTTGACATAGTAGGTGCTATAAAATTGCTATAAATCATTTTATGAGCTGGGAATTCTTAAATATATGGTAGATACTTTTATTAAAAGTGTTAGAAAAGAAATGAGATTGTGTTGCTTTTTGAGAGCCGTGTCAGCAATAAATATTCTTAAACCCTTGACTCCATGCAAAGGTGAAACTAAAAAAATGGGAAATACGCAAAAGAGATGACTGTGACAGTTTAGGAATGAAAGGTACAGTTTTGCTGACCTCCGTATCAGTTAAGTTTCAACCAGAGAAAAAGAAACCAGTAAGAGATGTAAACTGAGGGATTTATCGTGGGGAATTGGCTTACACAGTTGCAGGGACTGACTAGGCAAGTTCAAGATCTGTAGGGCGGGCCGTCAGGAAGGGCAGCTGGAGCTCTCAGGTGGGTGCGAGTGAAGCCGCGGTCCACAGAGCCCCTCCTTCAGGGAAGCCTCGGATCTGCTCTTGCGGCCTTTTGACTGCTTGACCCAGGGCTTCCCAGATTATCTAGGGTACTCTCCCCTACTTCAAGTATATTGACTGTGTACTTTAATGACATTTACAAAGCACCTACATTAGGGTTGGAATAACTGGGGGTTGTAGCCCGGCCAAGTGGACACGTAAAGCTAACCATCACAGTCCACCCTCGTCAACTTAATTTCCGCATAAAGACGATAAAGGCATGCTTTGCCTGACATGGTACAGCTATTCTACTTACGACTGAAAATATGCTAACCCCCTGCCCACGAAAAGATGCAGTGGCCTTGGGCAGTGTTTACTCTTTTTGCATTGATATGTGTAACCTAAATTCTGTGATATAAAGTCAACTAGTATTAGACATCTTATGTTAGTTGATAAGGAAAAGAGAAGGAAGAAGGCACATTAAAATATATACACAAACATATTGATATCAAAATAAGGAAATGCTCAGGGCTTCCCTGGTGGCGCAGTGGTTGAGAGTCCGCCTGCCGATGCAGGGG